ACATATGGGGACCATGTAATGAGAAAACTCTTACCAACACTCCATATTTCTTAATTGTAGTAGATGACTACAGTAGGGCAGTATGGCTATACTTGATGAAAACAAAAGGTGAGGCTGTGGGTTGCATTGAAAAATTCTTGTTGATGGTTCAAAATCAGTTTGGAAGGATGGTGAAAGTAATAAGAAGTGATAATGGTCTGGAATTTATTGGAAGAGAATGTCAACAGTTAATGGCCAAGAAAGGGATACTTCATCAAAGGAGTTGTGCCTACACACCCCAACAAAATGGAGTGGTAGAGAAAAAACATAGACAAATTCTGGAAATAGCAAGAGGACTCATATTTCAGTCTGGTTTACCATTATCCTTTTGGTGTTATGCAGTGTTAACTGCAGCCTATATCATGAATAGGTTGCCTAACTCAGCCTTGGAATGGGACACACCTTTTGAGAGAATTTATGGTAAGCTGGCCAACAATGGTGTCTTGAAACCATTTGGTTGTTTGGTGTATGCTACAAATACTTTGCCTATGAAAGGTAAGTTGGAAAAAAGATCACACAAGTGTGTGTTTATAGGTTATGTGCTGGGATGTAAAGGGTATTATTTCCCAGAAATTTTTCCCTTTCTACAAGAATGTGATGGGGAATACTCATCACACACTCCTTGACCAACATGTGATGACATCCAACCACAACTTGTGAAGGAAACACTGATAACACCAGTTGCTGAGATCACACAAGAGACTGAGTTTCCACACGAGGTTGACACTGGGATAGAAAGGCCAAAGAGAGTGAGGAACAAACCTATATGGATGCGGGATTATGTTTGTCTTGATGATCAGGAGAGTAAAATGTCCCAGCATCCATCTGTTAGAGGTATGCTGTAAAAGCTATGTTTTGCAGATTCTATCAATTCCATTTTGATCTGGCCAACATGTTTCGGTCAAAGTACATATGTTTGCAGTTTATTTATTTATGCAATACATACTCCATGTCTTATATTAAGGTAGTGTGTTTCGAAGTGTTTCGAACAGAAAGATCACCTATCGGTTCCTTATAAGACTAAATCATTCGTTCACAGTCTAGACTGGCAGTGAGACCCCACTTGGAAAAAGACTGTAGTGTATTCTTGATTCAGTTGGTCTTTGACTGGAGAATTACACTAGCACTTATGTTAAGTGTTGAACAGGACCGCGGAAGGCAATGGTTATGAGACTCACTGACCGTAGTTGTAACCTCGTTCTTCAGTGATTGTTGCGTTCTCTTAAGCTGTAAGATAATATAAAATAGGCATATATTTTTATTTCTTATTTATTTGATTTACCAAATGATTCCTATTTTGCTAAGATGACATACGAGGTATTTTGGTAAGTAAGAATAATTATATGATGTGCTATTATAAATTATTTATGGTCACTATGTTCAAGTGCGCTGGATTGATGACGTCCCCGAATGAGCTCAGGAATGTACCTTATGTTAAACCCTGCAGGTAGACGATTGTCTGACATAATGGTTAAGGTCTGAGTGGTACTGTTGTAAATATTTTCCAGAGTAGAATCGAAAGATTCGACACCGGGTCGTGTCTCTCGAGGAAGGTCAGCCGGATTATTTTGTACGATTATTCAAACACAAAAAATGGAAAATAAAAGAAATGAAAATCCTAAACATTCTAAATCAAAATTTGGTTGATTTTTAATTATCAGGTACTGCAAGAATTTAAGTAAAGCAAAGTAAATAGCAAACGGACACGTAGAACAAATAAGATTTAAAGCAGCTAGGGAGTCGGGGATATCTGTTTTGGTTCAGAATGCGATTATCAAGCAAGCGATTGTTCGGTTAAGTGAGTTGAATAACCGGTACGTTCAAGTCATTGTTCTCAATAACTTTCGTAACAAGAAAACAAACTTAGACGACGAGTTAACAATTCATTTAACACCTAGGCAATACAATTACGAACAAGCCTAGTTTGTACGAGCCTATTTCGACCAACTCCTCCCCTTTCGGTTCTAAGAGTCGATAAACTTAAACTAGAGGGTGATTAATCAACTAGCCCGTTTAGAATTAACAACATCAAGCATGAATTTATCAAATCCAATTGAAACAATTGAAAATTGAAGTGTCACTCTTCAACAATTATCAAAACTCAAGAACAAATAGTCGAAACCCTAATAAGATTAACTCGCACAAGGTGGACAATCTTAAGCCCGACAATCGCAAACGAATTCAAAACATCGATCCCCTAATCCCTAGCAATTGAATTTAGCAACGCATATTCGAACAATCAACACAAGCAATATCAACCCAAGAACTCATATTTAACGATTAAATTAAAAGA